GGGCAAACCGGAGAATTTGGCAGTCCGATTGGGGGGGGGGTCCCCTCAGAGACCCGCAGGCCGGTGGCGTCGGCACGGAGTGCCCGGGTTCACAGCGCAGCTTGTCGCTCGTGTCCGTCTTGCAGGTGGCTCTTCTTCCTCCACATCACGACTGGGGTGTCTCGAAGATGATGGGGGTGGGGAATCCTCTAGGTTCTTAGGAAATTTCACTCCGCTTCTCCTGCTCAATGGTCTCTTTGGTCGGCAGGGTGTTCTTCTCCTGCATCTCCGTTTTCTTCAGCTTGGCCTTTTCGAAGCTGGAGCTTTCCCCCATGTCCGGCTTGTCTGCCATTTTCTTAAAGCGATCCTAGTGGGCAAAGCAAGGCGGTTGGCCGTGGAGTTCCGCTCCGAGCCAGGCGCCTGGTGCTCCCACTTGCGTCGCTGCAGCAAGAGACCCCTCGTCTTACTTCTTAATAGCGGCATCAGTGACAAGAAGCCCTTTCATTTGTGCCTCGAGCCCTGGCTTACAAAGGGTGACCTGTTCAGGGCCCTGCAGTTCTTGTGTGGCCTGATGGGGCACTCAGGGTCCTTGGCTTGCTGGCCAGTGCCCTTCACTTGGGGCTGGCCTGGTGCCGCCTGGAATGCTGGGAGAGAAACTGAAGGAGGCCAAGGGAGTGGGGGGGTAAGGGCTTGGAGCATGTGTGTAGCACAAGGTGGAGCTAGTGTCCGTCTGTCTGTTTGCTCATTGGAGGCCTCCCGTGGTGAATGGGGTTGGGAAGGGGCCTGCCAGGTCTAGCCTGGATCTTTCTCATTTAATATAATGGATTTAGAGGGAGGCTCTGGGCTCGGGTGGGGGGGTTCCTGCCCATTTCCCTGTTCCTCGGGTTTTAGCTCCAAACTTACTTACTTACTTACTTACTTACTTACTTACTTATTTATTTGGATCCACTCTGACTGGGGTCAGGAATAGGTGCTTTTGCTCCCCCCTTAAAAAAAACCCAATTTGTGAGTTATGTGTATTTAAAGTAATAGAAGTAATTCCAAAGCATATAAAGTAAAAAATGAAGTTCCGTTTCTTCGCCCACCCCATGGACCTCCCTCTTTTTCCTCTATCCATTTTTCAGTTATGAAGCTGTCTTAGCAGTTTGGTCAGTATCCTTTCAGATCTTTCACTACACATGTATGAACACAAAGAGGTATTGCTGAGGTTTTTTTTTTTTTTTTAATATAAAAATGGAGCCATGCCATTCTTCCTCCTTTCCTCTCCTTGCATTTTGCTTATGCCAACAGAATGGCTGGGCAGTAGGTCCCTGATTCTCTGAAATCTCATTTCCTGCTCCAAGGGGAAAAGGATAAGAGTAGCCTGTCCCAGAGATAATTTCTCTAAGTCCCATGCTTTTTGGGTGAGTCCCAGTGTGGGGAAGTGACTGCCTTGTGTGTGGCAGACCCGGGGCCCGCGTCCAGGTCTCCTGGCTTATATCATCAGGGCTCTGCGTGTTTTTAATAGTGCTCTCCTGTCTTATCCCTGTAGATCCATTCTGTCAACATCCCTGTGAAGATAGTGGTTCAGGGTTGGGGCATGAAGAGCCTTGCTCAGAGTCAGTGCTGGAAGGGCCCGGAGCCCAGGGCTCTTTTGGTTGAGTTCAGTTTGTCTAGAGTTTTATTGAGCGGCTACTGTGTGCCTGGTGCTGGGGTTGGAGAGACAGCCCAGCCGAGGGCCTGCCCTGAGGGGGCCACTGACTGTCCTTTGTGCTCCTTTGTGCAGAGTGGGGCTCCCTGGGGAGATTCTCATTGTTCCGAGGAGGGTCCCCATTCCAGACCTGGGTGAGAGACTGGAGGAGTCCCTGAAGAGTTCTATGGTCGCAAGAGTGGGAGGGGGTCTGTGACTTCGGCTGCCGCCAGTAACCCCTGACTTCTGCTCTCTCCCCGCCCCCACTTCCTCTGTCCCTCCCTCCCTCCCCCTTTCCTCTCTCCGTGGCTCTTTGTCCATTTGTGTCCATCTGTCTCTCTCCACGTGTGGCTCCTGTCCCCTTTGCTCTGTCCTGTCATATCATCGCTGCCCCTTTCCCGTCATGTGCTCTCCTTCATGCTAATGCAGGCGTGCTGGTCACCATGACAACAGAGACAGGCCCCGATTCTGAGGTGAAGAAGGCTCAGGAGGAGGCCCCACAGCAGCCCGAGGCCGCCGCCGCTGCGACCACCCCTGTGACCCCTGCAGGCCACGGCGGCCACCTGGAGGCCAACTCCAATGAGAAGCACCTGCCCCAGCAGGACACTCGGCCTGCTGGACAGGTGTGTGCCTGAGAGCATGGGCATCCCTCTCCCTGCCCAGCCGTCATCCAGGGCCAGTTCTTAGCGGGGACGGAAGCCGGAAACTGAGATTTATTACTGACTCATTACGTGCCGAGCTCTGTGCTGGGGGCATTGTGGTCACTTTTGTATTTAATTCTCCCAAACCTACGGAGAGTTATATATACATTTTTTAATTAAGTTAGCGCAATGCCCAGCGTGGGGCTTGAACTCACGACCCTGAGATCAAGAGTCACATGCTCTGCTGACTGAGCCAGCCAGGCGCCTCTACGAGAGTGATATTAATTTCCCCATTTTACACTTGGGGAAACAGCGGCTCAGCAGATGAAGTGAGTTACCCAAAGTCACATTGCTATCCAGTGACAGATGGAAATAAAATCTAGATCTGATTCCCCAAACCTGGTTCTTTCAACCTTATTTTCCTATCCCCCGAACCTGCCCATTCTAGCCTGGCAAACCTAGTATGACCCCAGAGCAAAATGCATCACCCTAAATTAGGGACAAGGGACTTGCTGAATCATCTAGATGTCCAATTCACACCTCCCTTCCTTCAGGACAGGCCGAGAGGGCGGGGACTTGGCCAAGGTCGTTAAGGGCACTGGTGGCAGTTAGGACTAGCTGGCAGGGCTCTGACCTCCCTTCCCTCCATTAGATCAGTCCACCAGCTCTCCGCTTCATGCTAGACCAGTGACAGACAGGTAAGGGGGAGGCCAGATGGATGCTCTGAGAACTCACATGCTACTTTGGGGAGCTAGGGCAGCTCTGGATGCTTCCTACCTGCCGAGACTGTCCCCCTGAAGAAGTGACCCCTTCCATGAGCCCACCCAGTTGCACACAGAAGCTCTGGTTCTCCTCCTGTATATACCAACCATAGACGCCGGTCACCCTGGGGGTCGTGGAGGGCCGTGGCTCTCATTTTGGAGACCATGTTAGCCCCAGCTGCTGCATCCTTACTGGGTCTTCATTTGGATGAAAGGCTGTGGTCTCAAGTTCACTGACCAGACTTTTCCCCCTGTTGGACCTACAGAGCCTAGACATGGAGGAGAAGGGGTATGGGGAGGCTGATGGCCTGTCAGAGAGGACCACGCCCAGCAGAGCCCAGAAATCACCCCAGAAGATTGCCAAGAAGTACAAGAGTGCCATCTGCCGAGTCACTCTGCTCGATGCCTCTGAGTACGAGTGTGAGGTGGAGGTAGGGAGCACCCCCCACCACAGGCCCGGTCCCCAGCCGACTGGCCCCAGCGCCAGGGCAGGCTTCTCTGTGCGCTCAGCCTGGGCCAAGCCAGAGAGCGTCCATTCTTCATGGAGGCCTGGACCGACTGCGGCATCCTGGAGAGATGACCTGGCTGGCCCTCCTTTGTACAGATGGTGGCACTGAGGCCTGGAGGGGCTGTTACGATTGCAAATGGAATTAGACGAGGCGCAGGGTTGGCGCCAGGAAAAGGTTTCTCAGGGGGGGCTGTACCTTGGCAAGGAGTCACCGTCTCAGGGCTGATCTCTAGCCCGGTAGGCCTTATGGACTGGGCTCTTCAGTCTCACCTAGCAGACGCTGGTGTTTCAACTAGAATTGTTTTTATGTTTTTATTGGGCGGAGAGAGGGGTCTTCCCTTGTGAATGCCCCTGTCCAGGTCAACAGGACAAACTGGTCACTTGAAGGTTTCACTTCAAGGTCACCCATGGTATGGGTGTCCCCCCCAGGCATAGAGAGGCAGCCCATTGGAAGGACCCTGTCACCTGGGCCACATAGAAATCCCATGGCAGGATCCTGTCCCACCGTGCGTAGCAGGGGCAGACACCTCCTGTCTCGGGTCAGCCCTTCCGGCCCCACATTTGCTATCTCCCTTTCCTATATAGGCTAGGACTCCCGCCCTAATCCTGAGCTCTCACTCACCCCCTTAGAGGGGCCGCCCTGGTCTGGGCACCATTCCTGGCCCTCTCCATGTGTATGGAAGGGTCCAGAGGGTGGCCTTCCCTAAGAGTTACAGGAACCACCTCTCTCTCTCCCTGGTGCCCCCGCCCCCCCCCACCCCAGTCTTAAGGGATATGACTTATTTCCGGGCCCTGGCAGGTTGGGCCCCTCTTCTCTGCAGGGTTGGGTTGGGTTTTGTTTTTGTTTTTTTAATGTCTTTCTTCTATAGAACGATTCCAAGGTGGACATCTTGCCTACTCCTAGGCAAAAGGAAGGGATATCTGTTCTCTCCTACCCACACCAGCCCCAGGATGCTGTTGCAGCTTGTCCCAGGAGAGCGTAGAGGGTTTGGCTGAGGCCAGGTCCATTCTCTCTGAAGGACTCTTCCAGCCTCAGGAATCCCTTGGCTTCCCAAAGCTGCTCTCCACAGTTAGGCCTGTTCCCAGGCCCTGGTGACCGAGCCCAGACCTTGCAGGAACCTCACCCTCTCTCTGGAGTCCCACCCTCTTTGGACAGTGACTGCTTCATGTTCCCCCAGCCTGTGGTCCCTTTATTGGTGCTCATCTTCACACCTGTGGGTTTGGAGTACCCAGCCAGGTTCTGGGCTTTGTCCTTCCGAATCCTCAGACCCACATGGTAGTTCAGAGAGGTACTGAGCCTGGTTGTCTGGGAGTGGTGGGAAAAGGTGGCTCTAACAGTGTTGCTTCCAGCTGAGGCTGATCTGGGCCCCAGCAAGTAAAAACCTTACTTGCTGCCCAGATAGGAGGTGGCACTCCGGGCTGGGCTGCCCTGGATTTCACTCAGACTTCGTGTAAGGGGAGGGCCAGGGAAGGAGAGTCACACTGTGACTGAGTCCTGAGCCCTTCCCTTGTAGCCTGCCCACGTCCCTCATCTTTCAGGTGGCTTTTCTCTCCCTCTTACACCCGAGCTTAGACTTTTGGGTTTCTGCTCCTTGGGTCAAAGTTAACCTCCTTCTCTTAATCTCTGTGAAGGAAGGGGAATCGGTCACCCCCCCACCCCTCCTCCCCAAAGTAGGTTTAAGGTCTAGGAGGACCCCAGGAGGACTTGGCAGAAGGCAGCTGGGGAGCTGGGCATTAGTGTCACCTAGGATCTGGTAGGGCTCTGAGAGCAGGGCGAGGTGGGTGGCAGGAGGGCTGAGATCCTCTTTAGACGCCGGGAGACTCTTGGGGGGTTTCAGGTGGTCCCAGTGGAGCCCCCCCCGAGGTGTGTCCCAGCCTTACAGCCGCTCTGCTCCCCTCTTCAGAAACACGGCCGGGGCCAGGTGCTGTTTGACCTGGTCTGTGAGCACCTCAACCTCCTGGAGAAGGACTACTTCGGCCTGACCTTCTGTGACGCCGACAGTCAGAAGGTATCTGTGCTGGGGGGCAGGGGTTGGCAGGGGAGGCCTGCTGTCGGGGAGACCTCTTGTCTTAGGCCCTCCTAGTCCTGACTGCATCCTGCGCCTTCTGTCGGTACTCAGATCCTCATTAGGCACCTTCTGTTTGCACATAGCCAAGGTTCAGCCAGCCTTATCTGTCTCAGTTCTCTGTCTCTACCCCTCCCACCTAGACCTTTCTTGGCGACCTGCCAGTCACCCCCCAGATGGGTGTCTGGAGAGCCACAGCCTGGCTTCCTGGGGGAACTGAGATACTCACTCCAGCGCCTCTTTTCCACCCCTCGGGAGGCCCCTGTCTGGGTTTCCTCCTTCCCACTGGTCCCACTGCAGCTGCCCATCCCGCTGCCTCAGGGCGGTGCCAGCGCCAGACCCAGGGGCCCAAACCCTGTGGGGAATCTTGGCCTTGGTCCCTCCTCTCCCAGCTCCAAAGGGCCCGGACAGCTCAGCCTGAGAAGGGTGTTCCCTGCCAGGGGCTGTTGACAGGCTATTTCAGGATGTCTCTGTCTCGTAGCCCTATCTGGCCCTCTCCTCCATCTTCCCTCTAAAGAACCCTGTCTTCTGTTTCAGAACTGGCTGGATCCCTCCAAGGAAATCAAGAAGCAGATCCGGAGTGAGTGGCCTGTTGTGGTTGGGAATGCTGTGGAAGGGAGGGTGGGGGCTCCAGGCTGCAGGAGCCCCAGGTGTGCTCTTCCCTCTTCCTTGGGGAAGTGCATTCGGACCCATGAGTTCATTTGCTCTGCACAGCAGATCTGGGGGAAGGCAGGGCATTGCCTTCTAAATGAAAACCTAAAGTAGGAACAAGAGAAGTGACCATCTAGAGTCACATAGCAGGTTAGCAGAGGAATCATAGATGCATTCAGGATGGCAGCTCTAGAAGGGACCTGCAGAATCATCTAGGACAAGGGGACATATTGATGGCCTGCAGACAGCCTCCTTCCTGTCCAACGGGTGTAGACTTCTGTGATGGGTGACCCTTGACTCAGCTCGGAATCCTCATCCGCACAGCACTGCAGACCACTGCCCACGGATAGGAGTTAACACGTTAGGGAAAAGCAAGGCCTGTGCTGGTCTGGGTCATCTTCTCTGTTTAACAATGGGGTGACTGTAGGCCCAGAGAGAGGCAGTTGCTTACCTAAAGTCACAGAGTGAACTATTGGCCAAGCCAGATCTTTAGCCCTGGCCTCCCAACACCATCCTGCTCTCTTTTCAAGGCCTGGAGTGAAGAGACAACCTGTTCTTTCTGGCCCAGAGAGGAAAGGCATATTGCGAGGGGTGGAGCAGCCTTCTAATGGCAGAAGGGGGGAGGTAGGTGGCCTGAGCCAGGGGGCATATAGTGGGTGGAGACCTGGAGCCTAGAAGCAGACATGCCTCCACTGGGAGCCCCTCCCCCTTGGCTGTGCTTGGACTCCCTGGTCCCTGGGGCTGGAAAGCAGAGCCTGTTGCCATGACAACAGGCAGCTGGGCCCAGGGATGCTAGCTGACTCTCCGGGAGAGGCTGGAGGGATTCTTCCTGGAGGCTCCTGTCAGTTGAAGACAAAGAGGCAGGCACACAGAGCCCACTCCTCTGGGCCTGACAGGGTCCTAGACCTGGGCTTCAGGCTGTCCCTAGGAGTCCCAGCCCAGCTGGGAGGCCCGCCTCTCATGCCTGAAAGAATTGGAACACATACAGGCAGCCGAGTGTGCAGTTTGAGGAGGACTGGGAGCTTGGGAAGGAGAAGCAGACAGCAGAATCCTTGGAGCTCAGCATCTTTCCCCAGAGCAGGGAGTTGGTCCCCCATCTCTGCGGCCCCGGCCAGCACAGCCCGGGCGTGGGGAATGGTTGCCGCTTGTGGCCACCTCCACTCACGGAGGAGCAGGCCTGCCCCCTTCAGCAGAGCCAGAGTCTCCGTCCCTACCCCTGGGACTTCTACACATTCATCTTTGTTCTGCCTTCTGGGGCCCCTGTGGAACAATTTTTTTTTTAAGATTTTATTTTTAAGTAATTTCTACACCCAGCATGGGGCTTAAACCCACAGCCCCGAGATCCAGAGTCGCATGTTTCACTGACTGAGCCAGCCGGCCACCGCACCATTGTTTGCTCCTTTCTTTGTGACAGCCCCTCAGCCTCCTGAAGGAGGCGCCACCCTGTGACCTGGGCTTCAGAGCTGGGTCTGTTTTCTCCCAAATCTCAGTGCCCATCACCGAGGGCACTGGGGGCACCTCTCTGGGCTCCTGCTTCTCATTGGCAAGTAGATTAGTGATTCACAAGGCGAGGGTGCCGGTTATGTATGGACAGCACCTGGCACATGGTAGGTGCTTTCCTGAGGTAGTCTGGTGTGATGGTTGAAAGACAGACACGGGAGCCAGACTGCCTGGATTTGAATCCTGACTCCAAGACTACTTACCTCTAGGGTTGTTGTGCAGGGTAAATGAGCTATTCTGTGTACAGCACCTAGAATGATGCCTGCACATAGCAGCGCCCGGTACATATTATCTGTTATTATTATTACTACTGCTACTACTATTATTTCTGAGACAAGGATTGTTCTCCTTGAGGCTGCTTTTCAGTCAGCTGTGGTCAGGAGCCCAGGTTCTGGGGTCAGATGACTAGAGGTTACATCCCCATTCTCCACCGCTGACTAGCTCAGCGATCCCAGGAGGGTGACTTACCCCCTCAGAATCTTCATCTGTAAAAGGAAAGGTTTACCTCAGGATCATCATGAAGATCAGACTCCTCCAGGTGCACGTAAAGTCCCTAGCAAGTGAAGTAACCAGCACCTAGTAAGTGCTGGAGATGCTTCAGCTGTATGGGGAAGGTGGTGATGACCAGAGGGACAAGAACAGTAGTGACCGCGTGGCCTCCAGCCCTTCGTGACCATGGTCCTGCCCAGGCTGGGCCTTGCAGAGCCGCAGGGGTGGTCTGCCCATTGTTCTAGATTGCAGCCTTTCCCCAAGGCCTCCTCTCATGTGGTCATCCCTTCTCTTGGCCTGCAGAGCTTGTTTCCAGCTAAAGCCGCAGCCTTAATTTCTCTCTGTACCTACATGTGTACCCTTGATTGTTTGTATCTCAGGGTGAGGTTAACATGTATCCCTGTGAAACGCCCTTTGCTACTTTCCACTCATTACATTTGCCTTTTAGGTCTTGCTTATAACCCCATTCTGCCATCCGAGATGGAGTCGACCCCACATAGGGCAGAGTCTTACCGAGGGTGTTCCTAGGAACCATAATTTGGCAGGATGCCCCATGAGAAATGGACACAGCAGGCCAAATAAGTTTGGGAAACCCCTAAATATTTGCATGTCCCGTTTAGAGGGGTGCAGTTTGCAATGGCACGGTGGGGGCTCCGAGAAGTCCAAAGTTAGGGAACCCATTTATTTATTTTAAGATTTATTTGTTTATTTTAGAGGGGGGAGAGGCAGAGAGAGAAGGAGAGAGAGAGAATCTCAAGCAGATTCCCCACTGAGTATGGAGCCTGACGTGGGGCTCAATCCCAGGGCTCCGAGATCATGACCTGAGCTGAAACCAAGAGCTAGACACTCAACTGACTGAGTCACCCAGGCACCCCAGGGAACCCACTTAATGTGACTTGTTTTCTTCCCACGAACATCCCGTGGCATAGACTTTGGTGTGGAGGAGGGAGCACGAGCTCTGGAGCCAGGAGGCTGGGGTCTGAACCCCAGCATTGCTGCTTCCTAGCTCAGTGATCTTGGTCTGGCCACTTTACGGCCTGGGCCTCAGTGTCCTCATTTGCAAAATGGGGATGATCATCAGACTTACTCATAGGGTTGTTGCAAGGTTTACTGAAGTGATGTTTGTGATGACCAGTAGGGCTGGCATGCACCACTGAATTTCTTTCTTTCCACCTTCCTTCCCGCTGCTATGTCACAAGTCTTTCAACCTGGGCCTCAGTCTACTCATCTTTCAAGTGGGAATAATATTTCAGGCTTCCTGACTGGATTGTCCTGGAATTATAGATACGAGAAAACCCTGAGGAATTGCCCATGGGATGGTGCATCCGGGCCACCCACTGGGGTGATGGAGCCTCTCTGATTGTCCCCCTATTTACTCCTCTCAGGCAGCCCTTGGAATTTTGCCTTCACAGTCAAGTTCTACCCCCCTGACCCTGCCCAGCTGACAGAAGACATCACAAGGTGAGGGCTGTGGAGGGGGCGTGGGCGTGCTGGCCATGTGACCAGAAATGAGGACACCTGGGGCTGGTAGGCACGGGGCAGTACATGAGGGCAGTTGCAAACTCAGATGCCCAGCGAGGCCAGGCAGACAGCATCGACAAAGGAAGCTGACCCAGCGCAAGAGGAGGTGGCACAAACACAGCGGTCAGTGACGTCCCAGGCAGCATCGGGACCCATTTCACTGATTGGAATTGAAATTCAAGAGGACACGCGCCATCTCAAACAATTGCTCTTCGGCTCCAGCCATCCCTGCCTTGTGGGAACCGGGCCCCTTGTTGAAGTAAAGCTAGAGATTTGAGAGTAAAATCCACAATTTTTAAATATTGGCAACTAATTCAGACTTTTTAAAAACATGGTGGAGGCCATCTCTGGTTGGGACAAGTCAAACACGTCACGTTCTGAATGGACCACCATTTTACTTAGGGGATAAGGAGGGAGTAGAGCACAGATGCCTTTGCAGGAAGGAATTTGGTCCCACAAGCTGCCCTGTGTACCTGTCAGGCATGTAAGGGTCAGATTAGACCGTAACCCCCTTGCCCCCCATGGAGGCAAGCCTGGGCTGCTGGGCTGAACATGGATTGTGTGTACAATCTCATTGTGCCTCAGGGCCAGTAAATAATGTGGCTTGAAGGGTGGAAGGGGTGCAAAGCATTCTCGAGAATGAGAACTTCTGTGGGGCTCATCCTGCCTCTGGAATCAGAACAGGGAGAGGCCCTTCTCTTTATCTAAGCCCCTTCCAAAGAGACAGTCTCACTTCATGATATCCGGGGGTCGTGTCATCCATGTGCGGGGCCCTACACGCCACCAACAATAAGATGTGGGCTTGGAGTTATTCCTGCAGCAGGGGAGGGGCTCTTAAGCCAGCCTCTCTCTCTCCTGTTGGGTCCCTCCTGAATGTTGGCTGCCTGTTTGCCAGGCAACAGGCCGCAGTCACGATGCCGACTTTGACCTTGGGGGATAATACAGATGTCCGTGGGATAGATCAGACCTGAAGCCTTGGCCTCATTAGCCCTGCTCTAACTCCTAGGGTCATCTTATTCAGCAACAGGGTCTCAACTTCGTTTCCAGGAGGGCTGAGAGCTGTAGACTGGCTTAATCCCCGTCCCTCTGGTCTTACCCACTAGTATCTTTCCTCTTTGTGCTAGACCCTGGGCATTGGGCTTCTGGGGACACAGGAGGGAAATTAGCCCTGCTTAGCATGGATGACCTCAGGGAATGGGGTGGTAGTAGCAGCTGATTTAGTCAAAAATATTCAGGCCCAAAATAAACTGGTCAGAATGACAAATTGATTGAAATGAAATATTGGTCAGGGTGTTTGGCAGTGATTTTCGAATTTTTAGACTTGAACAAAATGCCCTTAAGCCTACACTTGGTGCCTGTGATGTTTGAGCTGCTACTGATTCTGAGCCTATGCCTTCGCCCTGAGCAGTCACTGAGGCTGCACGTACTTTTTGCCAGAGCTTCATGTCATGGAGTAGTAAAAATTATACTGAGTAAAAAGCACTTAAAAGGAAAAGAAATAGGCAATTGGAAACAATGGTGAAACATGGCAAAATGGGCAGGGAGGCATCACTGGCTGAGGCTGAATTGAAACTTTTTTTTTTAATGCAGTAACCGAAAAAGCAATTAAAAAATGGTTTAAAATGGATCAAAAATTATAAAATCATCCAAGTGTGCATAAAGTTATAAAAAATAATATCCTTATGGTTGGAGATGTTTCTTTTTTTTTTTTTAAGATTTTATTTATTTGACAGAGAGAGACAGAGCGAGAGAGGGAACACAAACAGGGGGAGTGGGAGAGGGAGAAGCGGGCTTCCTGCTGAGCAGGGAGCCCGACGCTGGGCTCGATCCCAGGACCCTGGGATCATGACCTGAGCCAAAGGCAGACGCTTAACGACTGAGCCACCCAGGCTCCCCTGGAGATGTTTCTTTTAAAGCAATTTGTTTTTAGACAATTCACTTAGAGCTGGAGGCAAAATTAAAAAGTTTTGAGAAACACTGGTGACCAGGTTTGTCCTCACTGTGGAATGTGGTGCAGAAGTTAAAGTGAATGAGTGCTGATATGGAAGGGCACTAGGCGCATGAAAAAGCAAGCTGGAGAGTAAGATGTACCATTTGATCCTGTGTGCATGTTAAAAACACCCATGAATCAAAACACATGCATTTCTATATCATGGGGGAAAAAAGGTCAAAACACCGCCTGGAGAATAGGGGTGACCTCTGGGGGAGGGGACTAGGGCTGAGAATGGACGTCGAGAGGAAATTTAGAATCACCTCTAAATGTTTCCATTTGTTCCACAATAAGAATATAGTTAATTGTATGATTAAAAATACATGACATTAAAAAAAATGGCTAACAGCAAAGTAGTCCTACTTAGCTTGAAAATGAGTTAGAAATTTCAAATGTTTCCACAGTAGGAGAAATCCCTCAAAGTTAGAAATTAACAAAATGCTGAAAGGCACGTGGAATGGGACAAAACCGTCTTCTAGGACACACCCAAATCAACACCTGAAATGACAGTGTCAGGAACGTTCCTGTTCTACTGAGCTGAGTGTTGGTAGTTTGGTTTTTTTTTTTTTAAAGATTTTATTTATTTGACAGAGCACAAGCAGAAGGAGAGAGAGGGAGAAGCAGGCTCCCTGCTGAGCAAGGAGCCTGATGTGGGACTCGATCCCAGGACCCTGGGATCATGACCCGGGTCGAAGGCAGCCGCTTGACCCACTGAGCCACCCAGGCGTCAGGTGGTTTGGTTCTGATGGATGAGGGGGTGGGCAGCGGTGCTGGTGGCATCTAGGGAGGGAGTGGGGCCCGTGCCCATGGCCACTCTCCCCTCTCCAGATACTACCTGTGCCTGCAGCTGAGGGCGGACATCATCACGGGCCGGCTGCCATGCTCCTTTGTCACACATGCCCTGCTGGGTTCCTACGCCGTGCAGGCGGAGCTGGGCGACTATGACGCCGAGGAGCACGTAGGCAACTATGTCAGCGAGCTCCGCTTCGCCCCCAACCAGACCCGGGAACTGGAGGAGAGGATCATGGAGCTGCACAAGACGTACAGGTGAGGGGCCTCTGCCCAGGGCCTCCCCTGGCTTCTCAGCTGTCGACTAGGGCCCCAGGTGCTGGGCTGTAAGCGCCCCACCTGACTCTGGCCCTGACCGGACCGGAGGTGCATCTGAGAGCCAATCATCTCAGCCCACTGGGTCTCTAACAAATGGAAATGGTAGTCACTAGCTGTCTCGGTCTTGGTGTAAAACTTAAAAGTTTGCCCTCTGAAGCCGGACTGCCTGGGTTCACATTCTTGGCTCTGCCACTTTCTAACCAGGGGATCGGGGTGGGTCATTTCAGTTCCTCATCTGTTCAGTGTAGGCGCTAATAGAACCTGCCTTAGCACTGTTGGGGGCTACATGGCACATAGTACAGAGATACCACGTATTTATTGTTGCTCTGTGATCTTAGGGGTTGAATAGTTGATTGTGCAACAGAAAGCACCGTATTCTTGGAGTTAGAAGATAACTAACCTGATGGGCCATCATAGGGCTGACTGACTTGTCAGCCCCATTTTTCACATGCACATGTACGGATTTAGATGATCCGTCTGTCTTAGCTGTTGGTATTTGGGGCAGGAGAATTCATTGTGCGGGATGTTTGGCATCCCCGGGCTCCAGGCATTAAATGCCCCTAACACCCTCTCAGCCATCGTCATAACTAAAATGCCCCTCTCCCATTCCCAAATGCCACTGTGAGGTTGGTACCATCCCTGGGCAGGGGTGGGGTGGGGGGGGTTGGGGGGGAGGTTTCCCCTGGAACTAAATGGTCTTTAGGATCCCTTCAAGTGGGAAGTGCTTTGGGCTCTGAGTCCAGGGTCGTTATGGGCACCCAGTGTGACCAATGATGTGAAGTGCGTCAGGAGCTGTAAAGTGTGTCCATGTGAGGGGGTGGGTATGGTGAAGTTATCGTATCGCTAATGAGGATGGGAGGCCTGAGGGGGGTTGGGCCTGGGGAGGAAGCGGAGGGCCAGATGTGGAGGGATCATGTACAGGGGGAAGAGAACCTGCTGGGGTGTGACGGAATGCTAGGTCCCCAGGGGCAAGTGTGTCTCTCAGAGACTTTGCACACCAACTCTGACTGGTTAGCAGCGGCTGTTGTCGTTTTGTGTTGAGCAGGACACTGAAATCATTCGGCTGGTTAGCACTGTTGGCTGGGGCTCAGGAATAGGGAGGGATGGCCTGCCTGCTGTCTGTCATCCCTGCCATAGGTAGCAAGATGTGGGAGGGATTTGTAAGAGTCCTAATAACTCAGAGAAAGAAGCTCGTATATGGGTGGAGAAAGGCAATGGCCATCCCTTTAGCTTTTACAGCTCTTTTTGACTGAAAGCACATGGACACCTAGTGTCCAGGCATCTCCCGCGGCCACTCATGGAGGCAGACAGAGCAGAAGACCGCGAGGCCCAGGGGATATGACGCAGATGCAAGGGAAGAGGTTGGGAAGGAGCACATACTCTGGAGCCACATTGTCTGGATTCAAGTCCCGACTCTGCTACTGAATAGTTGTGTGGCCTGAGGCGAGTCGTTCAGCCTCTCCATGCTGGTTTCTTTATAAAGTGGGAATAATGAGGACACCGACCTTACACCACCCTCACTGTTATGAGGATTCGGTGAGTTCATGCCCATGAAGGGTTTGGAACTGTGACCAGCACATCATGCTCACTAAATGTTTGCTGTGGCTTAAATGGAAGATGTACGGTTCCCCGGCAGCCAAAGCAAAGAAGGAACTTGATGAATTACGTAACTCGCTTGTCAGAAAGGAGAATGTGCACCTGCTCCTCAGGGGGAGATTAAGTGGTTTCTGATAGAAAATTCTGAGAGAAATGTCTTATGTGGGTCATCATTTAGGAGCCCCTGGGTGATTATAACGAACCATGGCTTCCACGACGGCTTCGCAGCCACAGAGAATTAGAATCTATGGCTCACATTGAATTCTGTGGCAGAATGAAGCAGAAATTCCGGCTCCCAGCTCATCCCTTGAATACTTCCTTGAGGAGACAGGACTAGACCTGAGCTTTGACACCAGGAGGGGGTTGGGTGGAAGGAAGTGAGGGCTGAGAGCAGAGGGGAGGGACTGCGAGAGGCCTAGCCATATGCCTACTCCAGAACGTTTACCTTCCTAGAAGCACAGGTTCTGATCATGGCCACCTTCAGCCAGCAAGTCTTAGGCCTGGGCCTTTTCATGGCTGCCTGTGATCATGTTCTTTCCTTTAGGGGCATGACTCCAGGAGAAGCAGAAATCCATTTCTTAGAGAACGCCAAGAAGCTTTCCATGTATGGAGTAGACTTGCACCATGCTAAGGTACTGCTGGGCCCCGGAGTCCCCCTAGCATCTTGGGGGGGGTGTCCCTCGTGCTTTAGAGGGCTTGGTGCGCCAGACCCTGTGTTCCCACCAACCTGAAGCCTTTTATAGTCATATTTCTCATTCCTCAAAGTTCTGTCACCCTTTATCTTCCCATAATCTTTATAACTTTTCTAAATTCATATTATATTATGAACCTGTTTGTACCACCACTAGATTGGGAGCATCATGAGGGAAAGACACAGGCTTTATTTTTTTTTTTACCATGATGTAATTTTATTTATTTAGTTTGTAAACCAAGTTTTTTAATATTTAAATTCAATTAATTAACATATAGTGTATTATTAGTTTCAGAAGTAGAGTTCAGTGAGTCGTCAGTCTTATATAACACCCAGTGCTCATTACATCACGTCTCCTCCTTAATGTCCATCACCCAATTCCCCCATCCCTCCACCCCCCTCCCCTCCAGCAACCCTCAGTGTGTTCCCTATGATTAAGAGTCTCTTACGGTTTGTCTCCCTCTCTGGTTTCATCTTGTTTTATTTTTCCCTCCCTTCCCCTATGATCCTCTGTTTTGTTTCTTAAATTCCACATATGAGTGAAATCATTTGGTAATTGTCTTTCTCTGATTGACTTATTTTGCTTAGCGTAATACCCTCTAGTTCCATCCATGTCGTTGCAAATGGCAAGATTTCATTTTTTCTGATGGCTGAGTAGTATTCCATTGTATATATATACACCGCATCTTCTTTATCCATTCATCAAGACATAGGCTTCAATTTATTTCTATATCCTTAGCACATAGCACATGGCCTAGCACCACATAGGTGCCACTAAATGTTTGTCAGTGAATCGGTGATTGAGTGATTGACAGAATGATCAAATGAGGAACGGGGTGAATGGCTGACAAAACGAATGACTGAATGACTGAATGACTGTGTGAGATTGGTCAGGGGCCTCCCCAGAGTGTAGGCTCTGACCCTCATCCTGAGGGCTCATCAGAAGCAGAGCTCAGGGAGGGGTTTCGGGGTGCGTGGCAGGTGTGGACCCTAGGCCTGCCATCCGATGGTGTCTTCTCATGCAGGACTCCGAGGGCATCGACATTATGTTAGGAGTCTGTGCCAATGGCCTGCTCATCTACCGGGACCGGCTGAGAATCAACCGCTTCGCCTGGCCCAAGATTCTCAAGATCTCCTATAAGAGGAGTAACTTTTATATCAAGATCCGGCCTGGGGAGGTGAGCCTGCCTTGGGAACCCCTCCTTCTCCCTGGAATTGGCTAGAACGGAGAGGATCCTGACTGCTGAGCCTGGTTTTTTTCCTACTTAGGATACATGGAGAAGTTGCTAGGGGACTGGGTAAGGCTGGGGCTCTCTACATAGACTTCATGGCTTAGGTGTGTGCCTACCCACAGACAACACACACACACACGGGCAGTACACACAGAGACACACACGGGAGCACACGTGTAAAGATAACCACATATATTCAGGTTACACAGATAGTGAATACCTGTCCATCCATGTCAATTTATCTGCTTACATGTAGTATTCAAGTATGTACACATGCCAAAACACACGACACATATGTCCAGCCTCCACACCTCATCCGTCAAAAAGTCCGTTGGTTTGTACCTCTAGAATAAATGCAAACCCATCCGCTTCTGTCTTTCTCCGTTGCCCCAGCCACCAACCGCCACCATCTCTCACCTGCGTCTCTATAAGGTACCTCTCCCTGGTCCCCCTGCCTCCATTGTCATGTTAGGCCATTTTTCTCATAACTGCTAAGGAGAGCTTAAAAGTCCCTTCCATCAGATCACTATCCCCCATTTCCACTCCTGCCTTAACCCTTTCAAGAGCTCTCTGGCTCGTGGGCTACTATCCGAACGCCACATGTGGCCCAGCTGCGTCTTGCACGTATCTGTGCCCCCCACACACTGTGCTTCGGCTCTTTTGGCCTTCCCTGACTTCCTAGGATGAGCCAAGCTCTTTCCTGCCTCCAGCTTTTTGCTTTTGATGTTCCCTTTACCTGAAATTCTCTTCCCTGCCTTCTCACATAGCTGGTTCCTTTCCCATCCTTCAGATGTCTGCCCAGAGATCACCTGTTAGAGGGCATCCCCTGATCACCCTTTCTAAGACAGATCCTGACCCCTGCACCTGCCCAGATACTCTGTCACACCACACGTCTCTGTTCATTCCCTTCATGCCCCCTTATCAGTGTCTGAACTGATCTTGTTTACTAATTTATTATCAGAGCACCCCTTCCCCGTCCCTGAGAATCTTCCGTCTTGGTCACCATGGTGTCTCTGTTGCTTAGCACTGGACCTGGCTCAGTCCACTTTATTGAATAAATGAATGAATAAATGAATAAACAGGCCAGAGTCACTCATGCCTGAGAAGAGGTTCAGAAAGGATGGACCAGGGGCGAGAGAGCCCAGGCCTTGCTTCTAACCCACCCTCCTTGGTTTTGCAGTATGAGCAGTTTGAGAGCACCATTGGCTTTAAGCTCCCAAACCACCGGTCAGCCAAGAGACTGTGGAAGGTCTGCATAGAGCACCACACATTCTTCCGGTGAGCCTGCCCCTGGGGTGGGGGTCACAGGGCATGCGCAGAGGCCAGGAGTGTACACGTATGCTCCGGGAGGGGGGAAGCAGGAGAAGGAGCTAGGAGGGAGGGACTCCAGGAAAGCCCCCCTCCCCAAGTCTCTCCTTTTGTGGGTCACTTCGAGTTGTAGCTGGTGGGACAGTGGGCTGAAAGGCCAGCTCTGGTCCAGCCTTGGGCCCGGCAAGGTAGGTCTAATCCCCCTCCTCCCTCCACTGCAGGCTGGTGTCACCTGAGCCCCCGCCCAAGGGCTTCCTGGTGATGGGCTCCAAGTTCCGATACAGTGGGAGGACCCAGGCGCAGACCCGCCAGGCCAGCGCCCTCATTGACCGGCCCGCACCCTTCTTCGAGCGTTCCTCCAGCAAACGGTACACCATGTCCCGCAGCCTTGATGGAGGTATGCCCCAAATTGGAGGTGTGGGGGAAAGGGTGGTGTTTAGAGGGAAGTGGGGGCGTGCCAGCTTCCCTGGGATGAGCGCTGAAAGTGGTGGACACCTCATCAGTTGATTTGCAGCAGGCCCGGTGGCCCAGGAGCACTGTTGCCCCCAGGCAGCTCTCGGCGGTCTCGCCCAGCCTACAGCATTACTCCCACTGGAACGTGACATTGCCACTCTCTTTTGAAGGATAGGTAGGAGTTTTCCAGGTGATCAGGAGAGTCTGATACTCTCCCTGCAGTATGAAGGTGAGACCTGTCCCAGGATTCCTTGACTATGTTGGGAAGACATGCAGTTCTGCAAAGGTCCATTTGAGGCTGAGGAAGCTCCTTATTCTCCTTGAGGGGGCACAGGGCTGAGAACTAGGATTTATGCAAAGGGAAAGTACAGTCTCTCTGTTCTCCCCTGCAGCTTCCATTACTATGCCAGGGCCTAAACGAAGCCCAGATTGTGCAGGGTAGCAAAGATTGGTCTAGAGCTGGCGAGGCTCATCCAGGAAGAACCAGAAGCCTGGACTCTAAACCAGGAGACCTGGGTCTTTGTCCTGATTCACCAAAAGGTCATCAGTGGGACCTTCCCCCTCTCGGAGCCTCAATTTGTCCTTTGTAAAATGAGGATAAGGATTCCCATTCTAGCCATCAACACAGAGGTTTGTGTGGATCAAATGAAATAATGTGCATAAACGGGCACTTGGCAGAGTGAATATATATGAATAGAAAGGCTAATTATTCTCTTTTAATCTAGGCCAATCCCAAGGATAATTTGTGCTCTGGTCATTTTAATTCTGTGTTTTCCAGCCATTTTTTCCCACCAAGACATAATCCATGGGCACAGTCTGGGTCGTGCCCAGTGCCTAGTGTAAAGCCTGTCATTCCATCCCTTTCTCTCCTATTCAGAAAAGTACTTTGGAATGCCAGTGGGTGAGAAGGATGTCCGGAGTCCCCTTGAACTTTCCCTGATTTATAAAGGGGCTAAATTATTTGCAGATCTCAGAACTTTAGCTGTCACTGGTAAAGGCTAATTTCACAATAGCTCTGTACTGCTACGTAACGGTCAAGCGAGTATTCTGTCACAACCACAACAAAAACACACCTGTGGAGCAGCCTTGATTGAATTGGCTTGCTCTGTGCCAGGCTCTCTTCTAAGTATTTACACACATGAGCTTATTCATTCCTCCCCCAGCTGTCTGAAGGAGGTATTGTTTATAGATGAGGAAACCGAGGCCCAGAGAGATTGTGTAACTTACCCAAGGTCACACAGCCAAGAAGCGATGGATTTGAGATTCGAACCTGGGGCACTGGCTGTAGAAGTCAGGAGTGGGGGCCGGGGCTGGGAGGCCGCTCTGTGACCTGGACAAGGCTACCTCCCCTCTCTGTGTGCTGGCTCCTTATCCCCGACATGTTGGGGCTGCTCCACTCCAACCATGGTTGGGCGGGTGGCAGGACTGGCTCCCTGTCCGTCCCCCTGGGAGAGGTCTCACCCGGCCACCCGGCCATGTTTGCCCATTTTAGCGGAGTTCTCCCGCCCAGCCTCGGTTAGTGAGAACCATGACACGGGACCTGACGGTGACAAGCAGGAGGATGGCGAGTCTGGGGGTAGGCGGTCAGAGGCCGAGGAAGGAGAGGTCAGGACCCCCACCAAGATCAAGGAGCTAAAGGTAGGAGCCTGGCTTTCTCAGACCCTCTGACCTGGGATCAGGAGGCTGATTTTGGATCTCGCCTCGGCCTTGGCCTTGAGGTGTTCCTGGCTGTGGGGGAGCACCCTCATTATGGGATGCACCATGGGAAGGACCTTGCCCAATACCTCAGTATCCCCTGGTGGTGGGTGGTAGGCATGCTGCCCACCCTGCACCCTTCCGCTCTCTTTGTCCTACTTTCCCACAGGGGCACTCTGTCCCCTAGAGGACTCCAGCCTCCTCTTGCCCACTCTTAAGTTGCCCCTTTGACTGTGATCTTCATCCGCATGGCCCCCTTCCTCCCCAGAGCATGACGGGGCGTCCCTGTGGGCCTTCACCAGGATGAGGTTCAGGTGTGTCCCCTCCTGCTGCCCCACGCATTTCCCACATACCTGTGCACACATCGTGAGGACACACGCGGCCTCAGACTAGCATGCATTCACTCGGAGCTATAGACCCCTCTTAGAGTGGGGGCATGCGTCCAGATGTGCAGGCAGCATGCACGCACACGGCCATGGGTGCACACGGGTATAGCGTGTTTCCATCAGGCGGTTGCAGCTTGGAGCACGGGCCCCTGAACACACATGCCGACCGCAGAGGCATGAATACCCAGAGCCCGCAAGTCCCTTCTACTGAGTGTGACTGCCTGCTTTGCCACCAGTCCCCCGGCCCCCTTCTTCACCTCCCCGGGCCTGCTCCCTGCCTCCCACCCTGCCCCTTCTGGCTACTTTACTGCCCCACGGGTGGTCCACCAGCTTCCCTGGCCTCTGCTCCCTGGGAGAGAGCCCTCTGGGCTACCTACTACACCGTACTGGGCCAGTGCGGTGCCTCTAACCCGTTTGCTGTACTGACCCTGCTGGTTCCTTCCCTCCTCCCGCATCTCACTAGCTGGAGCAGGAAACCACGCCGAGACACAAGCAGGAGGTACTGCATGGGACCCGTCACCACTTACCTAGCCATTCAGATCCCCAGCTCATTTGTCACCATCCCATAGTCCACCCCAGGCCCATG